TACACAGTAGTAGGAAGTTGGATTGGAAATGGAGTATCTGGGACTTGATCCAGGCACTCCAATATGGGATGTGGACATCCCAAGCAGTAACATAACCATTGCCACAAATTCTGACCCCTTAGCTAGTTCTTTAACAATTATTCCAGAGGATGTTGAATTTGATCATTTGTTTATTTAGTATCCTTTATTTTATCTATTTTAAAGGCAAAGAAACAGAGAGAAAGGGGGATATAAAGAGAGAGATCTCAGATCTGCTGGATCATTCCCTAAATACCTATAATGGTCAAGTGTAGACAAGGCTGAACCCAGGAGCTAGGAATTCAATCCAGGTCTCTACATGGGTAAGAGGGACCCAAATACTTAAGCCATTATCTGCTGCCTCCCAGGGTGTGCATTAGCAGGAAGCTGAAATCAGGAGTGAAGCAGGGACTTGAATCAAGATAATTCACTGATGTAGGATGAAGGCAACCCAACTAGCACTTTAAATGTTAGTTTAAATACCTTCCCCTTACCATTGGTTTATAAACCAACAGGATATATACTGAAAAACCGATAATTATACAATGGTTATCTATTAACCTTCATAGCTTTTATTAAGATGTGCCAGGGTCAAATTTTGGGCTCTGGGGCCGGTGCTGTGGCACAGCAGGTAAAGCTGCCGCCTGCAGTGCTGGCATCCCATATGGATAGCGGTTCGAATCTTGACTGCTCCACTTCTGATCCAGCTCTTTGCTATGGCCTGGGAAAGCAGTGGAAGATGGCCCAAGTCCTTGGGCTCCTGCACCCACATGGGAGCCCCAGAATAAACTCCAGGCTCCTGGCTTTGGATCAGTGCAGCTCCGGCCATTGTGGCCATCTGGGAAGTGAACCAGCAGATGCAAAACATCTCTCCCTCTCTTTCTCTCTCTCCCTCTGCCTCTGCCTTTCAAATAAATAAATCTTTAAAAAAATTGGGATTCCAATGAAGAACAAATCCAAGAAAGTGTAGTCTGTTAGAACCGAGTTTATCCATTAGCATTATAAATTATGAATTTCAATAAGGAATTTTTGTCATAAAGGTACTTTAGAAATTGGGCATTAATTGACTAACTCATTACATAATGGTATTTATGGAATAAAAATTCTGCCTTCTTGTATCTTGGTCAGTGCTAGCTCAGTAATATGATCTCAATAAATATATTTGATGAATTTTATTAAATACACACTTTTTAAAATTTCTGCCTTTATTTCCCTATGTATACTTCATAAGTTTTTCCCATCTTACTTTACCTGGGCTCCAGATGTCAAACCACACAAAAGAAAAGTGTAAAGAATGAAGAAAAAAGTTAAGCAGCTTGATAAGACTACGAAGGTCAACTGAAAATCTAGGTGGGAGTATTTAATCTTACTTTATGGAAGGTACTTCAGGACCATTTCCTTTTCTCAACATTAAGGGATACTTGCTGGGGCTGGCACTGTGGCGTAGAAGGTTAAGCCTTTGCCTATGGCGCTGGCAGCCCATATGGGTGCAGGCTCAAGTCCTGGCTGCTACATTTCCAATCCAGCTCTCTGCTTATGGCCTGGGAAAGCAATGGAAGATGGCCCAAGTGCCTGAGCCCCTGAACCAGTGTGGGAGACCGAGAAGAAGCTCTTGGCTCTTGGCTCCTGGCTCCTGGCTCCTGGCTCCTGGCTCCTGGCTCCTGGCTTCAGATTGGCCCAACTTTAGCCATTGCAGCCATTTGGGAGTGAACCAGCGATGGAAGATCTTTTTCTCTGTCTCTCCCTCTCTCTGTCTGTAACTCCACCTCTCAAATAAATACATGGAATCTTAAAAAGGGGGATACGTGCTGTGTTACAAGGGGCAACTATCCAAAACCAAGTGCTTTTATACCCAAGTAATAACAATCCTCAAAGATTGAATCAGGATGCCAACCAATAATTTTAAGATGGTCTCAGATTATCAGTACTATTCATATCCTTTAATACTCACTCATAAATATTTCACAATATCCCAGACATAATACAAAATAGAGGAGTACAAATGGCTAAGCCCACTGAGTCTACAAACTAAGTAAAAATGGTTCCTATTTAGGTTTCTAATAAAGTTAATTACTGGTCAGCACGCTTGAATCTGCCTAGGCCTCTATCATATGAGAATAATACTATCAAAACACTCCAAATCCGATGTTCAGATTCAACCTCATTACACTATGTAGATATGGGATCTTATTGTTCTCTTTTCCTCCATGTGGGTGTGTCTAGAAGCCAAAGGGCATAAAATATTTCCACTAGGTATAAAATGAGACATTTTCATACTCTTTGCAAATGTTGGACAGCCTCTTTAAATTCCATGAAGCTAAAGCCATAGGAAGAAGAAGGAGGAGGAAAAGAAGTTGTTCTTGTCTCAGGGAACAAAGACTGGCTTAATCAATTTAGTTCTTTTTGGCCACATTTTCAATGCTTTAGTGTTAAACATTTCCAAGTATCCTTGCTTCCTCCAAGGCCATACATGATGTGGCCCATAACATTCTCTCCTTCATGCATATTGGCATATTCTCCTTCATGCCATATTGGCATTTTCTCTGTTCTTTGAATATAATATTCAAACCATTGGTTTTTGCCCTTGATTCGCCCTCTGATCTTCTTATGTTTGTTAATTTAGTAAGTGTAAGCTAATGAGGTCAAGGCATCTGTTGCTCTTGTCGTCACTATATCTCCGAATAGATAGCAGGTTCTCAGTAAATGTCATTTACATGAGTGGCATCAAAAGGTACATATTCAAGAGATGTGTCATCTCTGCTCTACTTTTGTGTCAAACTCATGTGGTGCAAACCATACAATTTTCTTCAGATTCAGGTTGTCTCAAATCACATTCCTTATATAAGAGTGACTCGTATAATTTGCAGATATTCTTGGCCCATCACTGAAGGAAGGATTAGCCTATTTCAAAACATCACAATATTGGCAAATAAAGTAATGCAGTGGCTACATCTGGGAGATAAGAAGGACTAGGTCAGCGTCAGTGAATGGGGGAAGATACATGGTTTTAGTTTCTAAAACATATCTAGCACAGAAGGAAGAGAATCACCTCTGCTGAATATTCAAAGTGTTCCAAATGGTCCATCATGTTACAGGCTTTGATTATACCTCCTCCATGGTGTTCGGCCACACAGGTGAAAGAGCCTTACTTTGTATATATCTTCACATTAATATGTTAACACCCCACAGAAAGAAGTGTTGACCAGAGGTCTCAATAATAGAATGGGCAGGTAGAATGTCCAATGCCCTAAAAGATGCTTACTACCTAAAATGAATTGAGCCCTGAGCAGAAAATAGGATAAACTAAGGTAAAGGATTAATCTAGTATAATAGTTTCTTAACAAAACACTAGCTTTGAAATAAGATTCACTAGTTCAAGTTCTTTAACCTCTCCAAGTCTCAGTTTTTCATCTCAACAATGAGGACAACAGTTTCTTTGTGGTGGTCCTATTCGAGGTGGGGGCAAGAAGTTACTTTCATTGTTTGCATTTTTAGGTTGAATTATTATGATATGTGACTTCTTCAGGCCATTTAAAGAGTTAAATAATATACATAAACACTGACACATAGTAAGTATTCAATAAGTTTTAGGTACAATTAGAATTGTTGGTTCTGCTAGGATTCTTATATGTATGGTAAGAAACAACTGTATTTTATTTTTAACATAATAATCATGAACAATCACCAACATAATAAAAGCAACAGATGGGCAGCAATGAATTATGACAAATCACTGGGTTAAGAGTGCTACTTGACAGGAAAAAGTCTAGAAAAGGTTGGTTTGGCAAGAGATCTAGGACTGGAGAGCCATTTAGGTCTGAAGTGGTCAAAAGTATACACGGACTTATATACAATAAGAAGTTAATAAAAAGAAAGCATTTAGGGCAGTTAGAAACTTCCAAGTATGATGAGTATGAGTTACAATGCAAAGCCCAGAATCCTGAAGGTCAAAGGGTTAATAAGACTTCCACTAAACATTCTGGAAGCTTTTCCATAACAAAGCCTGGACCTCTAGGGAAGGTTTTGAGGCACAAGACTCCCCAAGATCTCCAAAGCATAAATGAAGCATGTGCTGTCAAAAGCACTGACATTGAGTTGGGGTATCAATAAGGTTAGTGGACCTACCCTGGGGATGGATGACATGCTGAAGGAGGAAGTGTCTAGGTCCTCCCAACACTTAACCATGAACAACCTTTGGCAAGTATTCACTCTCTGGTATAGCTGCCATGGGAGTGGCTGCTGACAAATTGCTTGTTAACCCATGAACAAGCCTTAGAATGAAGTTGTTTATGATGACCAGTGTCCCTGGACTCAAAGACAAGGCCTGGTTTGAGTCCTGCTGTCACCATGGCTGAC